TTCAGATTCACAATGGTGGAAGGATATCATGAGAATCAACGCGAATACGAAAACTGTTTCATTTTGTGAACTTGTTACTTTCAGGTTGGCCAATGGTGATTCAATACTGTTCTGGACGGCGAGATGAGTTGAAAATTCGACACTGAAGTCGCAGTTTTCAGGTCTGTTTGTCGTAATAGACGTTAAAAACATCGCCTTGGCTGAATTAGGCGTTTGTAATGATGGTTGTTGGACTTAGAAACTTGAATATCATGATTTGCCTCCAATTGCTGATGTAGAATTTGATGATTTGGCTATACTGTTGCAGGATATAACTTCTATCAAGGACTGTCAAGATATTATACTTTAGCCAATGGGGCATTTAAACAAGTTTTTTGTAAAATCATTCTATGATGCTCTAATGAGAGTTGTGGGTAGAAGATTGAAGACAAACCTCTGAAAGATGCTTTGCATTGTTTGTAGGAAACCTTTATTCCGTTCAAGATTAAATTGTTTGGTTGGCGCCTTTTACTAGATAGGTTACCCACGAGGGGAAACATTTTTCACCGTCATATCATCTCGAATCCTCATGATCTCGTTTGCTTGTTTTGCTTTGATCAAATGGAGAATGTAAGTCATCTTTTTAACGCTTGTTCTAAAATGTTGTTAGTTTGGCATAAAATTTGTAATTGGTTGGATGTTAGGTTGGTTAATGAAAATCTTTTATCAAAGCACTTTTTGTCTTGGAATATTAATTTGGGAGGAAGGTGTTCTAAAAAGTTTACTTGTAATTTGTGGATGGTAGTTTGCTAGAGTATTTGGTAGATGAGAAATCAAATAACTTTCAACAATAAAATATGTAATTCGAAGTTAATTGTTTTGCGAATTAAGTATTTTTCTTAGTGTTGGATATTAACTTTATCAAAGAACAAAACGTCTTGTAATTTTTTCAAATGGCATATGCATTCTCTAGATTTTTTTGTAAATGTTGATTTAATTATATATTAGTTGGTAGTTGTAACGATGATTGGGGTACCCTTAATACCTATTATGAACTTGGTTATAAAAAAAATCAATTAAAATATAATCTTTTGACAAGTACTAGTCGACAGGAAGCATCTCAGAAATATCTTTGGTTGTTGTGTTTTTTCTTTGATAACGTCATGGAAAAGGATGATTTTGCTACACTATTGTCTAACATGCTTGGAGACTGCCACTGAATAAAACGAATGGCTCCATATTTTGGTTTCTTTTCAGAATTTTGGGCTATATTTTCGTGTCCATTGATTTTCTGAAGAGTTAGGCCGAAAAAGGAAGGGACCACTGAATTTTCTAATAGTTTTGGAGGATTTTGTTTACCAATCATTTTTAATGACACGGCTTCTTTTTTTTAATATCAATTTGTTGTGATGTGACTCTAAAAAGGCTTAACTACTATATTTGACATGTGAATTATTTTCATAATTACATATAATCTACTTTAGTTTTCAAGAGTAAAACTCTCAATTAAGTCTTTCACTCTCTTTCAGTACTAAAACAATTAATGTAAAATAAAACTGATTTTTGAAAGAGAATGAGTGAGATAAGAGACTAGTGAGTTTATTTTATATTTTTGTATATATAAAAAAAGGAAACAAATACATGAGATTCTCCTCTCTAATCAATTAGGCTACAACTTTAATTCTATAGACTTGGAGAAATTAGAAAATTCTAAATCAGTTTTGCTCATTAATTGATTAACTATGGTTTTTAAGGTGAGTTCGCTCTTTAATAGATTAGAAGAAAGCTCTAATCAATTAGACAATAAATTTATTTTTTCTAATTATTCATAATCACTTATTACTTGATTAAGCAATTGTCAGGATTGATTTTTAGAAGAAATTGAAATAGATGAAGAGTTTGAAAACGTTTTAGTGTGTGCGTATCGTCTTAGTACATTTGCTTATTTTACATACTATTGATAAAGTTTTTGTTATATGTGTAGTAACTAGAATATGCTAAATGATGAGCTTCTTTGAAATAACTTGTTCTCTTGTAAAATGGTTGTCAAGTTCAATGTTTTTTTGTGTGTGGACTTCACTGGGGTGTTTAATGCTTCACTTGTTCTAAACATTTTAAAATGGGAGTGGAAATATTGTTTCTATACAGTTTCCCATATAATTGAATTTGAACATGTTCTTCTTTTAACAAGATTGAATTCAACAAGGTTTGTTGGTAAGATTATGTGTTCATTAATGTAAGTCATATCGACATTATCCATGATGGTTCTAATTTCGCTGCTTTCAGGGTGGCCACGGTGTAGGATGTATCTATTGAACATTTCATGGATTATATAATGGTTAATAATGTCATTCTTGTGCTTGTTATCCTGGATAAGAGATTAGCTTTTGCAATGGCCGAGGTGAAACGTTTTATATTTGTTGGTATTTCAGTTGGAATCTTTTCCTAGTTTTCTTCAACTTGGATTAGCCTTATGTTTTGTTGTTGTAGTAGATAAAAAATGTTCAATGGAAGCGTTCGTGTTTGGTGCGCCGAATAAGGCTTCAAGTTGTTGAATATGATGTAAGATTGATGGAACCGAATAATGAAGTGAGTTTGGGGATATAGAAGATGCTCTAGAGCTGACAGTTGAGGAATTGGATGAGTCTCCAGAACTGATAGTTAAGTAATTATCGGGTAAGTCTAAGATCTTGTTATAGAGAATGTTCTTCACTAACAGGTGAAATACTATGTTGAGAGAATTGAAGAGGAAATTTAGAGAATTAAAGGACGGTACCCAGATACTACGTCAATGTTGGGTAGTGGAATAGAGAATCAGTGAAAGGTTAATAATGACAATCTTGAAGAGGCGGAAGTGACAAATCTCTAATGACCCTAGGGAGTTGTCAATATATACAATCGTTTTATGAGGTGTGGTCCATTAATACAAAAGCTATTGACATGTCTTCACTAGATTGGGTTTAAGTTGTGACACACACTCACTAGATTGAGACTATGGGTTTGAACCGTATTTATGGGCCGTTACCAACTCAAAACAAATTTAAAAGAAAAGATTTTTAAGCATTTTATCAATATATTTATTACCTACTAAAGATTGCAATGCGAATCATGTATGTGTCTCACTTATGTTCTAAATATACAATTCCTCTTTAGCATCAAGAAACATTTATCATATATTTAGATTAACAGTGGAACGTCTCCAATGAATTTAGCATCCAGTGAAAATTACCCGATATGATAAAACATTAAAACTCAAAATACGAGGATATGGAATTTGAAGGGTGGAGATTTTAACTAACCCACAAGTAAATGAGCTTAGCTAAAGGTGTAGTAGACATATTTTTCTCATACACTATGTCAAGAGTGAATAAAATATCAATTATCAAAACATAAACTTTTATATCCATAAATTAGAATTTTGTTTCAGAAATTAAAAAAACAAGGATACCAAATTTTGTGAAAATCCCACTTTAAAATAATCCATTCCCCACATTTACCTTTAAGTATTAGGTTTTTTTCTACAATAAATAGTATTACAACGAATTTTTCACCCATATACCCTACAAAACACCCCCTAAATCCCAAACTACTCAACATTTTCCCATATATTTCAATCTACCCATGTTTGGGTTTTTTTTTTAATTTTATATAAGGGGGCGCCATGGGGGATGGAGCCTCCCTTATAATTTGTATGGGGGCGTCATGGGGGTTGGAGTCACCCTACAAATTATAAAGGGGGCGTAATACCCCTTGGAGCCTCCCTTAAATGCCCTAAAGGGGGGCGCCATGCCTCATGGAGCCTCCTTTAAACGAAATTTTCAAAATTATTTTTAATGTTTAATTAGTTTAAAAATATTTAATAAATAATTTTTAATAATTTAAAAAAATTTTAAAAATAATAATTATGTTTTATAATTTTTCCTAAACTACGGACGGACATTTAAATCGACCGAGTCGTAGAAATTAGTATACAATCTTTCAAATGTACCCATTTGTATGTGATTAAATTTATTTAATCCAATTTAATTTTTATTTGTTGTTTGAAATTTATTAATGAAAATATTAATTATTATTTATTTATAAATTGTTAAAAATATAAAACATTAAAAATATTAAAATATAAATTATTAAAAATTATTCAGAAATTATAATTTACAAAATTATTATTTTTAAAAAAAATTTAAATTATTAAAAATTATTTATTAAATATTTTTAAACTAATTAAACATTAAAAATAATTTTGAAAATTTCGTTTAAAAGAGGCTCCATGAGACATGGCGCCCCCCTTTAGGGCATTTAAAGGAGACTCCAAAGGATATGACACCTCCTTTATAATTTATAGGGTGGCTCCAACCCCCACGGCGCCCCATACAAATTATAAGGGAGGCTCCATCCCCCATGGCGCCCCCTTGTATAAAATTAAAAAAAAAAAAAAAACATAGGTAAATTGAAATATATGGGAAAATGTTGGGTAGTTTGGGATTTAGGGGGTGTTTTGTAGGGTATATGGGTGAAAAATTCTATTACAAACATTATATAATTTTTTCCCTAAATATAAAAATATGAACAATGCAAATTATCAAAATTAATACTTCAATCAAATTCTTTAATTGATTTTTCAAACAACCAAAACAGTCAAATAATGAAAATCATAAGGTTGGTAGATATACCAAGCAATATATTTTCATGATGTATGAAGTAATACAATAATTAAACTTTAAAGTTGGCAAAATGAAACATACCATAATAAGTTTAAAACTTACCTTGAAGAATGGTATGCATTAGTTATTAAACAAATTAGGTGAATGCATTGATGGTTATAACTTATAAAGCAAATTAGGTGAACGCATAGAAGGTTATAAAGCAAATTTGGTGAATGCATTGAAGGTAGCCAAAGGAAATTTAAAACAAGTATTGCAATACATAGATCAAAATAATCCAATATCTCTCTAAGAAAAGGTGGAACTCAAGACATAAAATCCGTCAAAAAGAAACACAATAAAAAGATGTAATCAGGCCATCTATTGCTTAAGTTCGGTTTTCTTCTTTTGCCACAGGCGGTCAATTCCACTGTCAGCATCTCCCTGAAATTAAAGGGTACCAAAAACATCAGAGCACGTTAAGGGAGAATTCAGAATACATACAATGAATATACAGAAAGTATGTACAGATTATAAGACAGCAGAAACTAAAAGGCTACATTTCATTATATTTCTAAGGAAACAACCCTGTATTTTACAAAGTTACAGTAGATAATGTTATCCTATACCAAGTTTAGTGGTAAAATACTCTGAATTACAATTAAATTTACTCAGAAATCCAATAAAATTAGTCATTTTCCTAGTCATTCCATTCTATATATATAAATAAAGAAACAAAATTAGTTATTCAAAGATTTTGGCAAGGAAACATCTATATCTAAAAATATAGACAAAAAAAGTTAAACTTGTGACTGAAGTGCTAGAAGACCCTAATAGAATTGAACAGGCCAATAAAAACCCACATCCAACAAACATATAAATTTAATCAAAATCGGTTATATATGATTAGGATAAACAGAATCAACCACTTAAACTAAACAGCGATCAATTCTATTCAGCCATATATCACACTGACAACAAAAAAATCAATGAAACAAAACAATAAGTTTGCCCAAAGGCAATTCAATATCATAACAAAGCTAAATTTGATTTTTAACACTCTTGTACTTGTTGTGTTCCAAAAAAAATACACAGAAAAACTAACAATCAATTCAACATACAAAACCCTAGTTAATTATATGGGAGAGTAACATACAAAACCCTAGTTAATCATCTCTAATAAATCAATACAACCCATGAAATAACAACAATGAAATCCAAAATATAGAAGAAAATTTATACCTGTGCGCGGGTGAAGCCACATAGAGCGAAGGTAGAGAAGTGGCCATTGTAGACACCACTCTCATCCAAATGACCTACGTTAATCTGAACGGAAGCATGATCCTTAGCAGTAATCAATCTGTTTGTAGCAGAACTGAAACAAAACCGCAAAAACAGTTGAAAATCCATAATTGTAACAAAAAATAACAAACATAACCCTAAAATTTCAAAACTAAATTGAAGATTATCAAAGTGTATATACCACTTCCTAGGAATGTAGAGCTCGGTGATTTGTCCTTCTTCGTTCTGCATCCTGAGGTTAGGGGAGAAATCGCCTTGACAAAAAAAAAACTAGAAAAACCTGAATCAAAATGAAACGAAGTAGATTAGAGAAACGTGTTTCGAATTTAAAAGAGAATTGAAGAACGCAGTGAAATGATATCGGTTGCGAAGAAGAAGAGACGAACCAAGAGATCCGGCGGCGAAGGGTTGAAGACAGAGTGATGGGAAGAAGTTGCAAAGCTATTATAAATCCCAAACCCTAAAATCTCTTTTGTTTTAATGGGCCGGGTTTTCGGATGTGGCCCATTTATGCAAAGCTATATATTACTAGTTGTTTTTTAAAAATTATTTATTTAAGCTAACCATTCATATATATATATATATATATATATATATATATATATATATATATATATATATATATATATATATATATATATATATATATATATATATATATATATATATATATATATATATATATATATATATATATATATATATATATATATATATATATATATATATATATATATATATATATATATATATATATATATATATATATATATATATATATATATATATATATATATATATATATATATATATATATGAATTTAATTAACATATATTGACAGTATAACAAAAATTTATATTTTATATTGGCATTTAATAAGAATTGTTGATTTACTTAAAATATTTGACTTCTATTTTAATTATTTAAAAAGTAATATCAACGGATGATGGTGATGTATTGATAGTGTAAAACTTTTTACACTGACAGTGCATAACAATCACAATTGTGAAAAATAATATAAGCTTGATAAAATTAGTCATCCATGGGTGAGAATAAGCTATGTCGAACTAGATTTTGTCAAGTCTGAGTTTGACCTGCTAAAAATTTTAAAGTTTAAGTTTGGTCTATGGTTTACCGTAAGCTTATTTTTAAATCTTAGCATGAACAGCTAGTTGACAAGGCATTGGAGCATATTGCGTAGCAACAACATACAGATACTAGAAGTAAGGGATTTGAACAGGAACTTGAGTAGGAGCTTGTTGAGCTTGCATTTTCTAAGCAGAGATGGAATTTGTTTTGCCCTCCTTCTTTTTGTATCCATTGAAAGGCTTCTTAACTCCAACTTGGCTACTAGAACCACCTTGGATCTTTCCACTTTTCAGACCCTCCTCAATTCTCTCACCGATGATCACCAAGTTAGAGAATTCAGCAAACACACTACCAATTAGCTTTTCGTAGTATTGGACTTGCAAGGTAACCATGAAGATGTCGATCAATTCACAGTCAAACAATGGTGTATGCACTCTTATAACTAACTCTTTTAAGCAATGTGCGTACTCCTTAAAGGATTTGTTGTCCTTTTGATCCATACTCTGAACTTGAGTATGATTCGGAGCAAGGACAATGTTGTATTTGTATTGCTTAACAAAAGCTTCAGCTAACTCAGCCCAAGTACGCACACTACTACGCTTCAGTTGAATATACCATTCGAGAGATGCTCTAGACAAGCTGTCTTAGAAACAATGAATCATCAGTTTTTCATCTCTGGCATAGGCGGTCATTTTGCGACAATACATCTTTAGATGAATGTTGGAACAACTGAGACCTTTATACTTTGAGAACTCTGGCACTTTGAACTTGGGAGGAATCACAACATTAGACACCAAACACATTTCCAAGGCATTCAGAGAAGTTGAGTTGTGCCCCTCCATGACTCAGAGTTTTTCAGCTAGATCATGACACATTTTGATAGCTTCAAAATCCTGAGCAGCAACAGGATTTACAATCGAGATAGCAACATTATAGTTTTTCACTTTATCATACTCATCTAACATAGTTCCTTCAGCATGAGGAATGGGAATCTGAGTGACAACAGGTTAGGCTTGCAGGATAGCTCCAACAGTAACTCCAGAAGTTGGAAATGGTTGACAGGTGGCTCCTTCAACGGCAGAAGTGAAGTTCATAGGTATTCCATAGGTGATGGTATTTGGAACAGGAATAGATAGCCTTGAGGTAGATCCTTGGATAGAAACGTTGTTGTTGGCGGCAACGGCCTCATGCAATTCTTTTTCCTTTCTGATCATAGTGATGGCTTCGAGAATATGGTCGATCTTTCCTTTGAGGGAGTCCAATTCCTCTCTGAATGCGACTTGCTTTTGTTGAATTTGCTCCACCATACGTATGGTGTTGACTCGAGTTGCATACTGGTGTTGAGGAATTAACTTGATTTACTAGAGACGAAGGAAGATGAAATGAGATTCAGATGGTGGAATGAAATGCAAAGCATAATTGATGCAATGCAATGACATGTATGCAAGATGAAATGCAAGAATCCATGATCACCGGTTTAGCAGATTCTGAGGTTGGACGGAGGCAACAGATCAACAACCAAAGTCTTTGATTAAAGAAACCTCATAGGTAGGTTCTAAAACGGGTAGGTGCCTAGAGTCATGAATGTCTTCCAAAGACATTATAGCCATGGCAAAGGCTCACCATAATAATAATATCCTTGAAAGGATCTTCTCTAGGTGAGGTCTCCGTATCTTCCCCACGAGAAAGACTCCTCATAGGCGTCCATTACACAACCATCGACACACGAGTTCTAAGTAGGTTCTCAGAGTCATGGATCGAGGTTGAAAATATTATTGTCAGTAAGTAATACGTTCAAGGGATCTCGTCTGATTGGGGCATTCGCATTAACCCATAAGAAGTTAACACTACCAACCACCATGGATAAAATGGGTTAATGGTCCTTGGGATCAATGATTCAGACTTGAAAACATTATTGTCATGGCAAAGACTCACCACAACAATAACATTTCCAAGGGAATCTACTCCAAGTATCAACTACACAACCACTATTTTAATCTTAGGGTTTTACTCAGACTCTGGTGTAGAGCCATCTCACAAAGTACCCATAAATCTGATAAGCCCAACAATGTCACAATAAGCAAAAGTAACAAAAATAAGAATAGGAAAGCAAGTAAACAAGCGAAAAGAAAACAAATAAACAAAGCTAACGAGCTCACAGTTCAAACTAAGATAGGATTGACTCTCTCCTGCATGGAGCAATGCATTCCCAGCAGAGTCACTAGCTGTCGCACCTCGAAAATACGACCCTCGCGCAAAAGGCACAGAAAACGGTTCGACAGAGTCGCCACCAAACATTATTTATCCCAAAAGAGGGAAAGGAAAATATCGAGAAAACCTTTAAAGAGATAAGAACATGGTCATCGCAACCACATTCTGGTTCGGGAGTCGGTTACGTAAGAGGAAGGTATTAGCACCCCTTACGTCTGTTTTACTCAACGGAAACCTCTTAATTTGAATTGTGATTAACGTTAGTTAAGCTTATTTGTTTTCTTCAAAACAATATGAAGCGAAAAAGATACGATAAAAGGGGAATGATGCTAAGGGGAAATGAGTGGTTTTAGGATAGGGTGCTCGCCAAGGATTAGGGCCCTTGTGCCTACGTATGCTCATTCAGACGAGAATGAGGAATCAGAGCACTTGTAGTTCGACTACGGAAAAGGTTTGAAAAGGGGAAAACAGAAGATGGATAAAAGTGTGCTCGCCAAGATCATCACAATCTTGTGCCTACGTATCTTACCTTCGGACGAGAATGAAGAATCATAACGTTCATAATTCGTGGATATGACCACGAAAGAAGGGGTTAATGTGTTGAAGTTTAGTTTGGACGACGATTACTCGAAGCTTAAGAAAGGCTCCTCGGACCCATGTAACGGGAGAGTGATTCAAAGGCTTCTCTCTCTCTCTCTCTCTCTCTCTCTCTCTCTCTCTCTCTCTCTCTCTCTCTCTCTCTCTCTCTCTCTCTTCTTTTCCATCTAAGTGATTGAGAAATAGGTTTGATGGTTATCGAGTTGGAAGTGTTTTAGAGGTGTCAATTGCTTACACACGAGTAAGAGAACTCGCACCCAAACAACTAAAGAGAGATCAAAGGCTCACCCTTATTTTTCACCTTGAAAAGAGTTTCTATAGTTGCTAATCATTTTGAAGTTTCATTGAGAAAATCCGCTTGATGTTGGATCAAGGGTTTGTTTGTATGCGAAGAGGTTGATTGCGAGGCAAAAGTTACTCAACTTAAAAGTTGTTTGAAAAATGGCTCGACGACAAATCGAGGGTTTGATTGAAAAAGGTGTGAATCGATCATAGTCCTTAGGGGTGCCCCTAGTAACGAGACCACGATGAAATATGTAAGTGTGTATATTAGGTTGATGGCGAATGCTAATGAGCAATCGACTTACAAGGGTGTTTTGAAAATGGGCTCGACGATGAATTGATAATTAGTTTGAAAATAGTTTAATTTATGCTAGTCCCTATGGGTGCTCCTAGTAAACAAACCATAACCAAAAAGCGAGTAAAGTGCGTACATCAGAATGAGATCGAGGTACATGTAAGTTACACTGAATTGCACAAAATAAACGGGGTCATTGTCAGGTAGCCCAAGAGGAAGCCGTGTGTGTGTGAGGTGTCCTAAACTAAGCCACGAACAAGAGTCGGACAAAAAGTTCTTTTATAGGGTTTCTGTACAAGGTCCAAGTTTCGTTTCTTGAAAAAGTAACCAACAGTCCGCCAATTGAGTCTTTTAGGGTTCTGATATTTTTAGTGTGTTTTCGAATAATGTGAACAGAGTAAGAATAAGATATGAGTATGATGAATATGATATGAATAATATGAATAGAGCAAGATATATTAACGGAAAAGTAAAGCAAGAGTATATTGACGGAAATTAAAGTTATTTGTTAGTGATTAATCGTTAATTTTCAATTGATCAGACAAATCGGGTTGACTTTAACGCTAAAACAACGTAGCATGATCTATAAGGAAGATCATGCTATAAGAGGTTGTGCAAGAACAATATTTATGTTAAAACACGATTGAGAAATAATATTGTGAATCATTCTCTGAAGAAATCATGCCACACAAAAAGAAAAGTGGATGATCTTGTCTTAATCACAAACTCGTGTTGATTAATCGAAGGTAACTATCA